AAATCTCTGTAAAGCTCTCAAATGACAAGAGGAGTGGGCTTGTTCTGTATAGCCCTGGGGGCAGAGCTAGGAGCAGTGTGGGAAGTCACAGACTCAGATTTCAGTTTAATATAAAGAATTTTCTAACAGTCAGAGGTGTCCAACAGTGGAATGGGTTGCTTTGGAAGGCAATGAGTAAGTTCCCTATCAGAAAAGCAAGCAGGCGCCAGACAACCTCTTGGCACAATGAATTGCTATGCGTGGATACATTGTTTTCCTGACTAGATTTTGAAAGAATTTATGAAATCTTCTTTTATAAGGATATTAGATAATATATGGACATCATCTTCAACAGCAATTCTACAGAAGACCCAGAAACTTTCCTTAACTGGTTGTTAATCATGATTAAAGCTGAGGTCAATTGGAGAACTGAAGGCACTCCCAAAGGAGAATAATTCTTTTCAGAATCAGGGAGGAGGTCATTCATTTCATGTAGCAATTATTCATTCAATATCTTTGTGTGAGCCACTTTGCTAAGTGCTAAAGATAAAAACATAAAAGAGGGAGGAAAAAAAAAAGCCACCTGCCTCACAGTTGAGCGGTGTTATTAGATCCATCAAGTCTATTCCAACCATAATAACCCTACAGGACAGAGTCGAATTGCCCCATAGGGTTTCCTAGGTTGTAATCTTTACAGGGAACAGATCACCAGGTCTTTTCTCCCATGGAGCTCCTGGTGGATTCGAACCACCGACCTTTCAGTTCGCAGCCAAGCACTTTAACCTTTGTGCCACCAGGGCTCCTTCACAGTTGAGTATAGGATAGAGATGCAAATAAATATTTACACTCTACTGGCTATAATACAAAGTGCTGCAGGAAACACTCAAGGCCGGGGATTCACTTAGTCTACAGGAATCAGGGAAGCCCTCAGAGAGGAAGTGATTTTGAGCTGACTTGTGATTGACTAGATGGAAGAAGAAGAGCTCTAGTAGCATAGTGCCTAAGGCATTTCACTGCTAACCAGAAGGCTGTGGGTTCAAATCCATCAGCCACTCCTCGGAAGGAAGGCTGGGCAATCTACTTCTGTAGTGATATTGCCTCAGAAACCCAAGGAGGGGTCACTATGAGTTGATGGCACATATCAACAACAACAACAGATGGAAGAAGACAAACACAGTGTAGGCAGTGCATAGGCCAGTGTGGGGAGGTGAGTGGCTGGGGAAAGTATAGTGTAAGCAACAATGAAATTCTGAATCTTAATATGTAAGCAATAGGAAGCTACTGATGGGCTTTAGGTGGGAAAGTGTTATGACTATATTTGTCAATGGAAATAATCTGCATAGTTCTAGCAAATGTGAGAAAATAAATTGGAGGGGCCTAGACTTGAGGCAGGAGGCCTGCTAAGAGGCTGTGGAAAGTCCAAGTAAGAGATACTCATGCCCCAAACTCTGGGGATGATAGGATGGAAGAAGGCATGCGATGGTGGAGACTTTTTTTTTTTTTTTAATTGTGACTTGGGTGAAAGTTTACAGCAAAAAGTTTACAGAGCAAATTCATTTTCCACACAACAGTTCATACACATTTTGTTTCATGACGTTGACTGTAATCCCATAATGTAACTGCTCTCTTCCCACTTCTCCCTGTGGTTACCTTTTCCCTGTGTCCTTTTTTCCTATGTGTTCTGGCCTTCTGAGCTATCTCCCTGTGCAAATACTTTCCTTCTCATCTCCCATGGTTGATTGTTCTAAGGAGTATACTTACCTGGTAAAAATATTCACCTTATACGCCTGTCTATTGTTTGGCTGGAAGCCATGGGAGTGAGTTCAATTCCAGGACCAAAGAGTGACTTGTTGTTGTTGTTGTTGTTATTTGCTACCAGAGCTCCCAAAGAGTGACTAGGGACCATATTCTTGGGGGTTTCACCAGTCTCTTTCAGACCAGTAAGCCTGGTCTTTTTTATGATTCTGAGTTTTGTTCCACATTTTTCTCCCACTCTATCCAAGGACTCCTATTTTGATCCCTTTCCACATGGTTGACAGTGGTAGCCAGGCACCATCTAGTTCTTCTGGTCTCAGGGTCATGTAGGCTGAAGTTCACATGGTTCACTAGTCCCTCAGACTAATTGTCTGTGTGTCTTTGGATTTCTTCATTCTTCTTTGCTCTGGATGAGGAGAGACCAATGGTTGCATCTGAGATGGCCCTTGCAAGCTTTTTTTTTTTTTTTTTTTAAGATTTGGGTGAAGATTTACAGAGTAAATTCACTTTTCATACAGCAGTTCACATATACTTTGTCTCATGTCATTGACCAAAATTTACAATGCAACAGCTCCCCTCCCACTTCCTCCCCATAGTTACCTCCTCCCAGTGTTCATCCCTTCATACTCTTCTGCACCCTGAGCTATCTCCCTGTGCATAAGCAGCCCTTCCTTCTCCCATGATTGTTCTCTCCAGGGCATGTGTCTACTTGAGGTAAATGTTTAACTCACATGCCTGTACTTTGTTTGGCTGGAAACCACAGTTGTGGGTTCAGTTCCAGACCTGAAGGGCAACTAGGGGCCATAGTCTCAGTGGTTACACCAGGCTCCATTGGACCAGCAAACCTGGTCCCCACCTTCTTTTTTTTTTTTTTTTGCCTCCAAACGATTTTGAGTTTTGTACCACATTGTTCTCCCTCTTTATGTAGGATCTCCTACATCCCTTCCAAGTGGATGGCAGTGGTAGCTGGGCACCATCTAGTTCTTCTGGTCTCATAGTTGTATAGGTTGCAGTTCGGATGGTGTACCAGTCGCTAGGACTGATTGTTTCCATTAATTTTGGTTTTCTTCTTTCTTCTTGACGAGGAGAGACCTGTTGTTGCATCTAGATGGCAGCTTCCTAGCTTTTAAGGTCCCAGTCGCTACTCGCCAAAGTAGTAGGTAGAACAATGTTTTGTATAGTATGTTATGCCAATTGAGCTTGATGTCCCCTGCGACTATGGTTCCAAACCCGCAGGATCAACTACTCGGTCCCTCTGGGTAGCTGGCTGTGCCCTTGCAAGCTTTTAAGACCCCAGTTGCTAGTTTCCAAAATAGGATGTAGAACAATGTCTTTGTGTAGTATGTTAAGCCAATTAAGCTTGATGTGGTAGACCTTTTTTTGAAGTAGGATGGGGAGGATGGGGTAAGGGAGGCTACAGTACCTCTTACATCTAAGACATGAATGTATATGCACAGCAGACTTTAAACAAAAATGGGGAAAGGAAAAGATCTCTGTTCCAGGTCCTTGGGATGAGATTGTTTCTGTGATTCAGCACTAAATTTAACTCTGAGCTCCTCGAAACCAAGGCAAAAAGGGAAGCATGATGCTGCACCTAGCTTTCATTCTCTGTTAAAATGAAGCATATCTGAGGAATAGGAAGAGACTGGACAGATTGGAGTGAGAGAAGTTAAGTCTAGATGGTCTCTAGGGGCAGATCACATTTGTCCCTGATTCTGAGAGTCCTGGGTAAATGCTGTTTCTGGAATCGGTTGTTTCTGGTTCCCCTTACCGCTCTGTGTTGGAGGTGGTAGCCTGGCAGCAAAGTGCAATGGGGAGTCCAGCCTTTGTCCAGGAAGTTCTCTTTACAGACAGCTAGTCAAGAGTGTTTCAACTTAGAAATCTGATTCCCTACTAGCCCACCATGGGAAATGGTTCAACCACTCATCTCACTTCTTACTTCTCCCAGTGTTCTCCCCTCCAACACTCACTGGAATCTGCAAGCAGCTCTGCAAGAGAAGCTGGGCAGGAAATTGAGAGCCAAAGGAAATTGAATGTATTTACCCAGTGGCCTAGCAAGTTAGGGAGAGAGGCAGAACACGGACTTGCTTTCTTGATTGCTGAGCCTGGATGTTTCTGGTCTGGACAGAGCTGGTTGTTCTCTCCGTAGGTCCTATAAGTTCATGTACTCATTCAACATAAGGCATAGGGCAACAGGGTGGTGGGCAGTGGGAGCCAGGGCCCTGTTCTTCAACTCTCACTAAAGATGACTGAACATGGCCATCACTGTCAGCGAGGTACTGGCCTTACCTGGAGAGGCAAAGGAGAGCATGTCCTACATCAGGGTAAGAGAGGAGAAAAGCATGGAATGAATTCCCAGAGTAAGGTCAAAAGTCTCGCTGGCCTGGATTTTTCAACAAAGGTATGGCAAGTGGAGGTACAGAGGGGAACTGAGAAGGCCCCTGGTATTATGACCCTTCTCTTTGGATTTTCAATGTTTTGACTTTCATTATCTCATTTGATTTTCACAACCGAAGTGATCACAAGAAAATTCTTATTTTAGAGATGTGGAAACAGAGAATTAAGAAACACACATGTCCTGATTTCATCTGGACGCTGAGTTCTGCATACACACGGCCTAGCGTTCTACCCTGAGCGCCTCGCGGTTCCCGCAGCCCCCTTCTCCACATGGACCCCAGAATTTCATTCTTACCCATCCGAAAGTTCCACCCGAAGTCTAATTGGGTTCCACCCTCTTGAGCTCTGGTTGTCGCGGGGAGGCAGGGGTTAAAACCTGTGGCCCGGGTGGCCCGTTTCCCCTCCCCAACCCCCTCGCCTCCTCCCGGCGCCGCGCCTGGGGCGTCCGTCCCGGAGACCCGCACGAGAGAGGAGGGGGAAAAAAAGTGGGCCTGTTTCTCGGGTGGCCAATCCACCGAGTCCGCGGTGCCCCAGAGGAGGCGCCAGTACGAGGCCAGTGCCAGGCCACGGCTGCCTGCTTCCCGCGGCAAAGTACAAATGCGCCCGAGCGCCGCTCCTGGCGCCCTTGGCGTGCACAGCCGGCCCGCGCTCAGCCAACCCCGCGGCCGCCGAGCCGCTGCCGCCGCCGGTACCGCCACACAGCCCGGCCCCAGGACTCCGAGGCCCGACCTCGAGCCCGCGGAGCAGGGGGCGCCGGCTGCCTGTACCTGCGTGCCCGGAACACCTCGGTGGTCCCGCGCGCCTCGCCGACGCTGCGCGCTCTCCGGACCTGTGCCCTCTCCCCTCTTTCTTCTACTGTCCTCCTTCTCACCTTCTCCTTTTCTTTTATTGCTTTTGCCTCCTGCCGAAGCTTCCTCCATCTCTTCATCTCTTTCTCTCCTTTCCCGTTCTCTTTCCACCTTCCTCTCATTCCCACCTTGGACCTCTCCTTTTCTCCTCACCACCTTCCTCTCCTCCCTTCTCTGGTTCTCCTCTGTAGCAGTACCTCTCTCTGGATCTGTGGATTGTTTTGTGACCCTGTGCCTTAGTGTCCCTTCTCTTCTCACTTTCTTCTGACTCCCCCTCCCGCTTCAGCGTGTGGCAGCCTGACCCTGGGGGAAGGAAGGATGGTTCCCGAGGGGAGGGTCCTCTCCTCCCTGCTGGGACTTGCATTGCTCTGGTTCCCTTTGGACTCCCACGCTCGAGCCCGTAAGTAGATGGGGGAGGCTGGGCAGGCAGAGAAGGGGTCCGGGGACCCTGGTGATTGGGGGACAAGTACCAAGATCTGGGACACCTACGTTTAGCAGCCATCCAGGCAGCACCTGTGCCGGGAGAGGTGGAGACTTCTCTGCAACCAATGTGAGCTTATTAGTTCCGGGGACTGTTGGCAAGACTCAGGGCCAGGGGGCTGCTGCCATGGACTTGATGATGGGAGTACTGAGGGCAGTGAGAGAGAGGGCAGGGCACTGTACTTTGGGAGAAAGAGGCTTACTGTTCCTAATAGAGAGTTTAGTATGTTTGGCTGCAAATAAGAAGTGTGATGAACACGAAAAGTCTACTGCATTTAGTAACAGCATGTTGAAAGAAATAAGAACTAACTAGGATAACTTTCCTATTTCTTTATCTCTTCTGATCATCGCAATGCTCTAGTAGGTGGGTATTATCATTTGTATTTTCCAGATGGAAAAACTTAAGCTGAGATAGAAGATGGAATTTGCTCAAGTTTACAGAGCTAGTAAGCTACCCAAAGCCAGAACTCTCTACTACCAAATCCTATGCTTTCTCTCCTGTCCCATAGTGTCTGGGAGGAGCCCTGATTTGGAGTTGTAAGACTCCAGGAGGCAGCCAGGCACAGTGAGAAAGGCCAACATCTTCATTTCACCAGCCCCACTGAATACCAGCTGGTGGGAGGCAGGTACAAAGGGCATCTTTATACCTCTAATGCCTCAGTTTCCTAATCTATAAAATGGGAGTAAAACTCTCAGGACTGTTAGGACAATTAGAGAAAATATGCAAAGCAACTAGCACAAGGCTGGTGAAAAGAAGGTTCCTGAAAAATAGTTCTCAAAGTCATGCTTTTCCATTTAGACACAGTGTGACCTCAAACCTTGGTTTCCTCACTACCTAGCAGATCCCATCCCCATTCTCTACTTTCAAATTCCTTAGAAAGGCAAAGTTTCCCTCCGTGAAAAGGGAGCTTAGTTCAAACCTCATCTGCCCAATAAACTGAGGCCAAGTAGGGACAGTGATTTGCTCCAGGCCACACAGGACAAAGCCTGAGGCTAAAACCCCAGCTTTCCAACTCCCAGCCTGGTGCTCTTTCCTCCTCATGGCTCAGTGCTCCCATCTATATCTCTCTCTCAGCATGTGACTTTCTGGAGCTGGCATGGCTGGATTTTGTTTCAGTCTTGTCTCTGCTCATGAGGGCAGGATGCATGTCTGATCATCTCAGATCTGCCAACAACATAAGACGCACAGAAGTTCTCAGTAAAAAGTAATGGGAAGAGCTCAGTTTTGAGTTCAAGTCCTGGGTTCTGTCTCTTACTGGCTGTATGACTTTTCATAAGTTCCAACTCTGAACCTCAACTTCTTCATCTGTCAAAGAGAGGTACTAATCTATAACCTGATGGGTTTGGGGAGGATTAAATGAGGGAGCATGTGTAAAGTGCACAGCACAATGTCTGGTACTCAGTAAATGTCACCTCCCCCTCCTTGAATGTTGGGGGTTTTCTACTAATACTGGCCTGTTGTGTCTTACATGAGTCAGCACAGGAAACTCTCCATGCCTCTCTGTTCCACTTGGTATCTTCTTCTTAGCCCCCGAGATAGCCTAGAATCAGACCATTGTGCAGGATTGTTCATATCTTACCCTCGTATCCTCCCATATCTTTGCTTAGGTCACACTCTTCTAGTAAACTCTCTGATACCCTGATCCATTCTGATTTCCCCTCCCCTGTGCCTTCACTGGCCTTCAGGTCAATACCTCTCAGTCCTTCCAGTATTCTATCTTCCCTTCCAAAAAACCAAAATCCAAACTCACTGCCATTAAGTTGATTCTGACTCATAGTGACTCCCCACTGGGTTTCCGAGGTGGTAAATCTTTATGGAAGTAAATTGTCCAGTCTTCCTTCCATGGAGTGGCTGGTGGGTTTGAACCACCAACCTTCTGGTTAGCAGCCAAATGCCTTAGGCACTATGCTGCCAGAGCTCCTTCCTTCTTCCCCTACAGCCTAGTAAATAGAGAGCTCTTACATGTCTTGACATACAAGAAGGAAAACTCAGAGCAGACTTGTTATAGTGAGGTAGACTGGCATTCAAAGGAAGGTGTTCAGATTCTAGGATGTCAGAAGCTGGAAGAGCCCTTGAAGAGCATCGTGTCTGCCCCTCAGTGTAGTGATCCATAGAGTTAAACTGAAACCTAGAAAGGGAACACACATCAAATTTATTGAAGAACCAGTACCAGTTGCCATCAAGTCGATTCTGACTCATGTCAATCTCGTATGCATCACAATACAAATGGGTTTTCAGTGGCTTATTTTTTGGAAATAGATCACTAGCCCCCTCTGGTTGGACTTGAACCTCCAATCCTTTGTTTAGTAGCCAAGCACATTGACCATTTGCCCCACCCAGGAACTCCTATTAAAGAACAGAGACCTGGATTCTTGTTCCCAATCTGTCACTTATTAGCTGTATGAATTGGGACAAATCACTTTTGTTCTCTGAGCCTCATTTTGTCTAGTGCTGACGATTGATGAAGCTAGAAACAGTCCTACAGTCATTTGCCAGAGTCCTATATGAAGGTCTTCATCTCAAGTTAGATGAAATCTCAAGCCTACTGTGGGTTAGAAATCTCCTAGTGACATCATAGATGTTTTCAGAAGTGGTACTAATAGATGGAAATTCTGAAGTCTGTGTGCTATCAGACCCCTGAGGCAACCCGGCCCTGCAGAATGCCAAGGGCCTGTAAGCATGGGTGGCAACTTGTTCCTCAGTTAAAGTGCAAGGTTAGTCAAAGGTTATTCTATCCTTACTCTATTTCCAGTCATAGACTGAGCCCTAATGCCAACCCAGACTGAGCTTCAACTCCAGCCACAGACTGAGCCCTAACCCTCCAACCCTGAGAACAGATTGAACCCCAGTTTCATCTGTGGGCCAGATCCTTTCCCCAGACTGGGTTCCTTACCTGGTCACTGACCAGTACTGATTCCACCTCCAGGCAGAGCAGCATATATGTGTGATGTTGGTCATTTTGTACACCCATCCCTTCTATGGGGGAAAGAACCTAAATAGTCTCTTGACTCCCTCTCCAGTGCTCTTTTCCCTGTTAGCTCATCCCTTACTAATTACCCCCACTCCCACCTCACTCCCACAATCTCCCCTTTAAGCTGTCCAGCATGCTGCTTCTTTTTCTTCTTTCTCTTCCCTCACTCCACCCAATCCTGCTTTCAAGAGAGAGTCAGTTGCCACTGTCAAAACATCAGTCCCTCTATTCTTTCGCTAAGGGTATGTATATTCTGGGAATTGAAGCTTTTGTTCCCAGGTAGAAGAATTCTAGACATCAGAACTGGGATGGGGCAGGAAAGGAGCTACTCACGGTATGATGTGGTGCAGAGAGCAAGGATGAAATCAGAAGTTCAGGTCTCCAGCCTTGGCTCTGCCACCAGCTCCCACCATGACCCAGAGTAGGTTGCCTTTCTCTGATTCTCGATTTTCCCAGCTGTAAAACAATTTGGTTGAACTCAAATAGGGGATTTTGGTGGACCATTCCAATTTTAACAGTGCATGATTCTAAGACTCTAAGATCCAAAGATTGTTGCCTTGATTTTGAGAGTCCACTCTGACCTTTGGAAAAGGGAATTGTGGTAGCATGCATCTGCAGCCTGGTACTTCTGCCCTGCCAGGAAGGAAGGGTCAGACCATCAAACCCTCAGATGCCTGGAGATTGTACCTGGAGGGTCTGGGGTAGTGGGGATCCTGCCCTACCATTCAGCTTAGTCACAAACCCATCCACCTGCCAGATGTATATGGGGGTAAAGAGGGGGAGCGCCTAGTCTGGTTCCAGGCAGGCCCTTCTCTGTGTCTTTGACGGGACATTCTGTGCCTCCTTTCTCCCACCAGTAGAGGTCTCTGCCTCACTCACTGGCTTGTAGGCTGCAGAGCGGAGCTGGGCAACAGCTGCGCAGCTGCTCCAGCTGTTGCACCTGTTCCAGGACTGGCCTCTCAAGTTCCCCCAGCCGCCGGCCACGGCGCCGGGCTCTGGGAGAGGAAACTTGCATCCTTTGGACTCCCAAAGACAAGGACTGGTGTGAGAGCAGTGCCATTGGGAGTGGGGTACAGAGATCATTTCAGGCATCCCCCTTAGGATCTCTGGGAAGGACTCTGTCTCAGAGAAGATGTCTCACAGCCTTCTTTGTCACGCATTCTTGGAGTTAGGAAGTTCTTGCTTATGTCTCACCTGAATTGTCTTGTTTGCAGTTTAAAGCCATTTCTTCTGGTCCTGTCCCTTTAGGGATGGGTGATTCTAAAAGCACCCGCCTCAGATCTGAAGATTAGCATTGTAGTTTGTCCTGGCATGAATCCAGGATCTTAACCAAGTCCTTCCCCTCTCTGAGACTCAGCTTCTACATCTGGAAAATGAAGGGACTGTCTTTTCTAAATCCCTAACCTTCTAAGATTCTATTAATCTAAGCATCTTGTTCAAGACAGACTAGAATGCAAACAGCTCCACCACTGCCCCTGTCCTTTGCCTGATAACAGAGCTACCTTTTCTGGTTTCACTGTTCTCTCCTTTGAGGCTCTTTATGCTCCTGTACGTCTGTCAAGTGCCAGATACAAAAAATCAAGTTCAGAGAAGTGAAGCCCCTTCTCCTAGTTTGCCCAGCCTGGCCACTGAAGAGCTGAGGTATTTGTTCTGATTCCCTTAAGAGGCCTCTTGAGTTGGGTGTCAGAGCCCAGAGCAGAGCTTATGTCTCAGATGGGAGCAAGTTTGTTTGTGTGAAAAAGGGACTATAAATAAATAGAGAAAGTATGGCTGTGTGGGTGTGAGGAGAGAGATATAAACGTTCTTACATTCCTATGCAGCCTGGCTCACTCAGGTTTCCTGAGTTCTTGCAGGCTGGGGACAGGCCAGACACGATTCCAGCCTCTCTCCTCTAACTCCAGCCCCTCCTGGTGCTATTTTCATGGCCTCACCCAGCCTCCCCTCCAGC